TGTGAGGTTGCTTGCAGCTGCCTGTAGAAGGCCTCATCAACCTCCTCCTCCTGGTCAGGTGGCCTGTAGTACACACCCACCGTAATGTCACCCTTATGAGCCTGTCCCTTAATTCTAACCCACAAGCTTTCAACTTGTTCCTCATTTGCCCCCAGGCCAAGCTCAATGCATTCTACTTGCTCCCTCACATATAGAGCAACTCCCCCACCTCTCCGTGTTGGCCTGTCTTTCCTAAAGAGTCTGTAGCCATCCATGACAGCATGCCAGTCATGGAGTTGTCCCACCACGTTTCTGTGATGGCGACCAAGTCGTAGCCGTCCTGCTGTATAATGGCTTCCAGCTCCTCCTGTTTATTGCCCATGCTACATGTGTTGCTGTAAACACACTTGAGCTCGGCTGTCAATCTCACCCCTGGCCTTGGCACGCCAAGCCTATGCTTATCCCTAGTGAGCATCACTGTTACAAACTTAGAAGCATTTAAAACAGTGTTTAATAATATTTTATTTCTACAGATGGGACTGGTTATTGTTAAGGAAGAGGAAGCATATTTTAGAATTCTGGGTGTATTTTACATTTAAATGATTCTAGGTATCATGGCACTGTTTGTTTGTTTTTAGTAGAATGCTAATATGATTTAACCTTTCTAAGCTATATGACACCATCTTTGTGGTGAATAAAAAGCCATAGTTCCCTACAGACTAGTGAAAATCTATGTTCTGAGGTAATTGAGTTCCCAGATAATGTTTGAAGCTCACATTATTTCTGCTCGTGTCAACTTACTGGTTCATTTTATTAAAAAGTATAATGTTTCTCACAAGGCAGCCTGTTGTCCCGTCTAGCTGATGTTTTTTCTGGGGCTTAGTATGGTCACAAGCAAGAGGGAGCAAAAGCTGTGAAGTAAGAGTGCAATAAGTATCGTAGGGAATGCCCTTTAGCAGTTGATAGGAATATTAGTACTTCACTGAGAACTGGAAAACTTAAACTCTGTGGCCTTCAGGATAGCTGAATCTTGATGTTTACAAGAAAAACAACCATCTAAACACATGGTGAAGAAACCATGATTTACATTCATACAAGAAAGCAATGCAGAAATAAATGTCCGTGGCTTGCTGAGTGTTGTTGTGATGGTCTGTGCTACTTTTGATCTGAGAAAAATCTAAATTTTTCTTTGCAAAGAAGATTGAATATTTTAAAGGGGATTTGTTTGTTTACTTATTTAATATGTTTGTTGATTTTAAAATAATTATGATGCTTTTAGATATGAGCCACAATGAACATCCACAATTTCAGATTTCTGAAGTCTGAAACCTGCACATGGCATCTTAAAAAGACTGGTTGCTTGTTTAGCTGCATATTTGAAATCCACTTTCAACAGAAATATTAATAATCTCCGGAAATGAAAAAACAGTATTGCTAGTCTTACAGTATACAGTTTTCTTCATCATCAGCAGATATATTTAAATTATCTGCATTTTTAATGCACTTCCAGTTGCAACAAAAATAGATTACTTAGAAGAGCATCAAAGAAAATATTGCTTGTTTCCTTTATGTGTCTTAAAATACATAAAGCAAGGAGAAATACAGCCTGGATCAGATAAAGCGTGTGTTCAAGCTACTGACTTATTGCAAACGGATTTAATAGTTTAAAATCTTCCAAACCAATGCACATAGTGTGGCATCCTATTTGTAGGATTTGTTTTCCATACTTGCTGTGTGCTGTTAAATTCTGATACTTCTCAGTGTGCTATTTATGTTTTATGTTGGTCAACCAAGAATGTGTTGGGTGTACTCAACTGTACACTCTTGAATATGTATTGTCCAAATCTATTACTGTAAATACATGATATGCTAAAAAATTTGGTAGCAATGCACAAGACTACTTACAAGATGGAAGAAGAGAGAAATGCCAGGTGTGTTGTACAAAATACATACCTCCAGTATGTTCTTTTGGAGATAATGGCAATTGTATCTCTGAACGTTATATATATATATAGTAATGCTTTTCGTCTTAAAAAGTAGTGGTCTTCGTCATCACTAAGAAATAGTTGAGGATTTATAGGTGGGTCAATCAGCATTTCAGTTCATGTTTTGAAGTGTGGTAGTCTCAAAATTAAACCAGCTAAAACCAGACTCAAGTTTGTGTTCACTGGAATTCTATGTGTTGTGTCCCCCTAGGAAGAACAGGCTGCTAAACTCAAAGCTGAGAAGATTAGAGTTGCATTAGAGAAGATTAAAGAGGCACAAGTGAAAAAGGTAAGTTATTTATACTGGTTTATAAGATCTTTATTTTGTACTTATTTAGCTGGAAAATGCAAGTGAAATTCTTCTCGTTTGTGTCTACTACCCGTAAGTTGACCTAAATAAAATAGGAACACTACAGTGTTCTCCTGAGATTGTGTATTAAGCAGTCACACATTCAAAATGTGGGTCTGTTTTCTTTACAGACCCCTTCTCATTATGCGTAATAGGATTTTCCAGTGATAAATGGAATACAAGTATTTCAGACTACAGACAGGGGTTACCAAGTGGACAAAGTCTACTGACATTACTCGGTGCACTATCAAAGAATATAAATTGTTCCCTCGAAATTTAGCATTCTTGTTTTATGTTTGGAGTTTTTCAGTAGCTTAAATTGCCTTTTTCACATTCAGTGTTTATATATCAAAAGCTGAAAAACTGTCCTGGCTGGAAGATGGGAATTAACAATCCAACCAGTGTATTACAGCTAGTACGTTTTAACTTTTCCAGCTGAACAAGGTGTAAAAAAAGAAGCATGATGATTGGCAAGAACAATCTGTTGTCTTCAGGTTTTTTGTTGGTTAAAAAAATGGCTGCATTTTTCTGTCTGGACAGTGACTTCTTTAAAGTGCCTATGAAAAGCCATTGTGTTTTAAAAGCAGATTTCTTTCACAATAATGCTTCGTACTCTCCAGAAAAAGAAGATTTAGTATAGGTATATTGTTTGCATAATCAACATTTTCAGAAAATAGGGAGGAAGCAGGCAGAAAGCTTGAATTACAAATCTGAAAAATTCTGACTCTGTATAAAGGTTGTGCAGAACTCTATGTCTGTGTTTGTTCCACCTGAGTATGTGAGAAAAATTGTGATGAAGACACTTTATTAATCAGAACAGGACACTTGGGCAGGAGGGATTTTTTTTCTCCTTAACACACAACTAAAGCACATTGTCATTGTATTGGGAAGACCTTTATATTTGCTCTCTTATACGGAAGAAGAACAGTATCTTGTGAAGTGCCCGCGATACAGATATCTAACGATGATTTATGACTTTACATTTTTAGGGAGTGTTTTGAATGAACTTACTGTTTTATGCTATTTTAACAAGATCTTAGAAGAAGAAACAAGACCTTAGAAAACATGTTTTTATTTGAAATGTGGGAAATTTAATCCTTCTTGTTTCCCTGATTTTCTGCATCATAGTTGGTGATCAGAGTCCATATGTCTGATGACAGCTCAAAAACAATGATGGTGGATGAGAGGCAGACAGTGAGACAGGTGTTAGACAATCTGATGGACAAATCGCATTGCGGTTACAGTTTAGACTGGTCATTGGTGGAAACCATCTCTGAATTGCAAATGGGTAAGTAATAATTGTAAACATTTATAATTCTTATCTGTTGATGTAATACTTGTCTATATCTATGTCATCCGAATGATGTAAATTCTTGTTTGTGTAATGTTCATCATCCCATTCATTCATGTAGTAAATGTTCGTTAAAGTAGTAAAGCTCATGAATGATATTGTTTCAGAATGATCCGGAAATGTTTTCTTCTTTCGTATTAAAAGCATGTCTAAATTCTAAGATGTGATATAGGAATTTTACTCATGTCTAGTCACTGAGCGTATTAGTTTTGAGTGTTCCTCACAGAAGAAAGAGGTAAGGGATAAAAAACTTACTGTCCATTTTCCTCTTTGTAAATAGTATTTTGTGCTGACCCTAATAGCTCTTATTACAAAAAGTTGTCTACATTTCTTTTTCTGTTAAATATTTTAATGCAATTGGCAATATGGCTCTAAGGGCAGTTAAAGCTCCTTTGCGCTGCATTGCGCATTCCACAGTGTAAGTTGTTCATTTAGCCGAAGCGTATAGCATCTGAATGGAAAAGAAGGGGAAAAATTATAGAAAAACAATATTATTAATCTCTGTTATCAGAGAAGAATTGCATCAGAGAGCTGTTAAGCACCTTACCTGCTAACTAAAGAGAAGCCCAGAAATGAACCCAAATATCTTCTAATTAAATTTCAAATTAGATTTGAAATTAAAATGCAAATTAATATTTCTTCTCTCTTTTGGTGAAACCTTTTCTATTTCAGGCAATATAGCATATTAACTTTGCTTATTGTTAAACAGAAAAAGCTGTTGTAGGGTGAGGTATCCTTTGAATATTCTACTTTTCATATGAAAACCATCATCTTACTAGGCTCAAAACCTTAAAATTTTAATAAATTTAAAGTTGCCCAATTTTGAAACCAGAATGAATTTGCACAAATTCTTTGCAAATCCATATTAGGTATATAAAAAGCAGAGGTGTAATTCTGTAACATTTTACGCATGAGAACAGTATGAATAAATAACCTTACTAGTTCTGCAGTCGTCGTATGTTTCTGTCACCGAAAAATCTTTGAATGTGTAGGTAGCAGGATCCTGGACTCAAAGCTGAATCAGACATCTTCCCCATCCTAGATCTGCTTTCATAAGACACTTCTATTCACTGTGCAGCCTGGAAAGAATAAAGCAAAAAAATACTGGAAAAAATATTTTCAAATTCTGTTAGAAACAAAGGGCTAAACTGCAGACAGAAAGATAAACTTCTGTTTAGCTAAATTTAGCAGTGTGGCTGAATTAAGATTATTTTGAAATGGAACCACGGTTACTTAATCTCTGTTGGGTGTTCTGCAAGTATATGCATGACATGAAGTATATGAATGACAGAATTTAACTGCGGAATTGAAAGAGTTTCAAGCTATAGAACAACATCTGTTATGATTACAGAATTTCAAATTCAGGCTACAACATAATAAACCTAAGAGAGATGCAAGAGGGTAGAATTCAGTTTCCTCTTTCATTTTTTAGTTTGGCTTTCCTTGGTCCTTGGCAGGGCAACCGTTAGGTAGTTTTTCATAGATTTCAGGTTTTTTTTTATCTTTTAAAGAGTATCCAAAATGCAGCCTGTTTGGTTCATAGATTTTATACTGGAACTTGAAAAACAAATGAAAAAATACTACAACAAAGCCCTCGCCACATGTACTATTGTGTATTGTATTGTGTTATTTTGACAGTGGCTCATCTTTTGAAACATTTTTTTGGCAATGCCTATGAAAGAGAAGGGAACTCCTTTATTATAATATTTTCCTTTAGCGAAACACAGAACGCCTGTTTACCTTCACAGTGTATTTTACCATGTTGTCTTGTCAGTTCATTGCTCATTAATTGCACAGTTCAATAAAATGCAGTAAAAGCTTTCAGCTGACAAACTGCGGAGAAAGGCATGAGGCCTGTGGAGTTCCAGTCTGTCGTTGCATTTTATGTGGTCTGCTTCAGATGTGTGTGGTTAGCTATTCTTTGAGGAGTCTGTTTTAGGTCCATGTACTTGAAGTAGAAGACCACCTGTTGCTATCTAATGATTTAACCAGAAGCTTTATATGTACTTCCAGAAGAACCCAGTGACGTTATTTCCAGAATGCAGAATGAAATGCTTTGCCCATTTTTACCCTGCAAGTTTGTAACAGAAATAACTCTGGAAGATTTCTTTTGCTTGGGACAAAGGTTATTTTCATTTTTTTAGTTAGAGCAGAGTATGTCTAGGAATTATCTGAGTTACAATGTTTTAATTTTAGAAAGTATGTTTAATAATAGGAACATTGCACTATGCGCAGTTTTACATACTATAGGTACATTATACTCGGTAAGTTGTTTCATGTTTGAGTTCAGTTACTGTTCTTCGTGTAACAGCAGTTGATCTGTTTTGAAAGCTATGCCGTTTCACTAGTGAGGCTGCAGTGAGACTTAAGCTTTTGTATCACAGTCCTCTGAAGTTTTTTTGTTTTATTCTTCTGCTAGGCGACACCTTTTTTACTTTCTTGGAAGACAGTATTGCTGTGTTGCTGATAGAGCTTGATGGAAGTCATGAGTTGCAACTTGAAAGCTTCTTAGAAAGATCTCACCAAGACCTCACTAATGTTGTGTTGTCATCTCAAACCTAAGTTCATTCCCTGCAGATGACATTTTGTAGCATTCATTCTGCTTAGTATTCTTAATTACCAAATATGTTGAGATGTCATCTGTCATCTCAGTCTTCATTAGTGATAGTTCCAAGCTCTGGATGTGATCAGTGCCATATACCCTCTGTAAAAATGGGGTGTAGTTGATTTTGTGGGAAAAAATATGTTCTGCTTTCAGATGCAATTGAAAGGTCAAGCAAATCCCAAAGGATTCTGAAATAAATAATTTGCTGAAATGCCACTGTGTGGCCTACGTGAAGAGGGAACAAATTGCAGAAAGCAAGATTCTACTTCAGTGTCTTGGGAAGGAGGAGGAAGTTGATCTAGTGGTTTCCCAAAGATATATTCTTCCTTATTTATTTTAGAATAAGGGTTTTCAGAGATTTCTCTACCATTTCAGTAAATTTTCCTCTTTTTTCTTCCTCTCTTCTCTTTTGCCTATGTTCAATATCTTGTACTAGTGATAGCTGTTTCAACAGAGGGTCAAAGCTCAGAGTTCTCAGAAGCCATTGCTGATACATCATTTATTGTAAGAAATAGACAGTATCAGTTTTCAGATTTCTTCTACCACACCCCCTCTAACCATGGGTGTTCTTCATTTCAGAAGCATTTTGTTTTCCCGCTGATCATTGTCAATTACTTTTTCTGATACTTTATGAGTGAGGTCGCGATCAGGGATGTAGAAACAAATTTTGTGCTGAAAAAAATGCCTAACAAATGCCTCCAGGGATTGTGTGGGCCAGAGTACGTATAAATGTGATAACCTTTTTATTTGTACACATAACATTTAAAATGTCGTCATTTGAGTCTGCTGTGTTCATTTGGGATGGCAGACTTTGTCAGGTAAAAAAAAACCAAAGCACTTCATCTGTTGGTGGAACTATAGGCCTGAAGAGACAGAAGTGAGAGTGTTGGGTGAGTGTATGAGTGAAATTAAACCAGGCACGTCTGAAAGTTGACTAAGTTCTTGCAGTTTCTTAGTGTAAGCTTCTTGCCCATTTTAGTAGACCTTGAACTCTGTTTTCTGTCCATATATGCCTTATCTCCCAGATATGATTACAGAGTACTTTTTGTCACAAATTATGACAAATTCAAATGTATTTGCTGTCTTGTTGTTGCTGCAGAAAGGATCTTTGAGGATCATGAAAATTTAGTTGAAAATCTTCTGAACTGGACAAGAGATAGTCAAAACAAGCTGATGTTTGTGGAACGTATAGAGAAATACGCACTTTTCAAGAATCCCCAGGTAAGCCTGAGGTTCATGTTGAATGCATGTGTGTGTGTACACATGCACGCCTGATTGCAGTTTCCTACTTTTTTTGATAGCATTCATTTCTATACGTTTATTTTGATAGTTGTGTATGTATTGAAATGATAGGCAACTTTACATTTCGGCACTGTGTACATCCACATTGTGGTTGGCGCAAAATGAAGTCCCTAGCAGAAAACCATGATCTGAAGCAATCTGTTTGCTAACATGTTTGTGGATAATTTTAATGGAGATCAAGGCAAACAGTTTCATGATATTTACACCAATACTTAGTGCTGTTCAAATATGTAGATATGCAAGAAAGTTGCTGACAGGTATTGCCACTCCATTGTGCATTCTTATGTTCCTGGCAAGAAGGGGGTGAGAAAATCAGAGAGAATAGCTACTCCATGGTCAAATGGCAGGTGAAGAGAATAGAGCATCAGTCCCTCTCTGTGGGAGCAGGGACCTGCCTCTGTTCACCTGGGTTTCATGTTCCCTGGCGAGGAAACCAAAGGCCCCTCTTCTCTCAGATGGCTTCAGAGGCCTCTCATCTCTCAAATGGCAGCTATGGATTTGATGTTCACTTCAGTACTGTAAGAGAGTGGAGGGAAAAAACAAAAGAAAAGCAGAAGATGGCTCTTTGAAGAATTTGAATTGAAAAAAACCTGGATATATTACCACTTGATCTCCCTTTTAGGATCATAGATTATTTTTATATCTGTATGGCATCTATGTGGTATGTTCTTGGTTTTAAACTGAGTATCAGTTTTGCATGCTCATTCTTTGGGACACCATCAGTGTACTTGATTTTTGAAAACTGAAAACCAGGTCTTATTCAAGTGCTTTGCAGCAAAACTCTGAAGTTCTTTTTAAAAGCATGTAATTGATACGTTTACTATCAGTACGTACAGTAGGCACAGTCAACAAAAAGGAGGTAGCAGCATAAAACCAGTATTTGTCCTTGGTTTAAAATATTGGACTGTCTAAACTTTGTGAATTTTTTCCAGTACAAGAGCTAGGGCTTAAGAGGAGGAAGATTTTCATTGTCCAAGTCCTTTCCAAGCTGAAGAACAGTACAAGACTTTGTTTAATAAGATACAGTACCTGTGTATGGTTAGACTCCTTTTAAGAAGAGAAGGAGTAGTAATTCCTCATGAAACAAAGATACTTTTATTCAGCAAAACTGTCAGGGCAAGGTGGAAAGAAGTACATTGCTTCTGCGTGTGCTTCTTTGAACACGTAAATAATGGCAGTATGTAACAAGTTTAAAGATCTCTGAGTTTTTAAAATATCTTTATTGTGGGATTTTCAAGTTCATAGTATTTTTATTTATGGATGCATTGTACCAGGCAGCTGTTTGTTTTGTGGAAAGCCGGGACAATGTTGTTATGAGGCAGTTACTTAAGATGAGCGTATGGACTGATTGATATTTCTGGAAAAGGTGGTTAGAACTTAGTTCCATATATTATTTAGCAGTCTGACAAATAGTTTCAGTTAGACTACAAAGTTCTGTTTAATTAATGTGTTGTCCTTAGATAATAGCTGGGGTTTTTCTTACTGCTACAGAAATGTAAATGTGAAATGTTATTTGGCTTGATTCTAGGACGCCTGTAGAAATATTAAGCTTTCTCTTGTTACAGAACTATCTTCTGGGGAAGAAAGAAACCTCTGAGATGGCAGACAGAAATAAAGAGGTGCTGCTAGAGGTAAGACTGCCAAAACAAAAAGGGCGTAGTGGTCATTTCAGAGCATGAAGCTAAACTCTAAAAGGTTGTAGTGATTGAAATTGATGGGTGGAGCTGAATGTAATTCTGGAACAACTGTGAATGGAATGTGTTACATTCGAGATAAATGGCTACTTTAGTGTTAGCCTGTTTCAGATACAATCAGGTAATAAAAATGTGTCTTTATTTTGTTTAATAACTAAAATACCATACACAGTGATAATCAAAACGAGGTTACCTATAACTATGGCTAAGAACAGTTGAAATTTGCAGAACTGTCTCTTGTTTTTTTGACCTGGGGTGGTAGAGATTTTTTTTACTAGTAATCGCCAAGTTGTTATTCTCTACAAAATTCTATAGCATTTGTTCAGTGACTGGTTGATGTTAGTATCTTAAATTTTGTTTGTAAGCAAAGTAGTTAAAAATTGCTTCAATTGCATTTTAAAACAAGCAACCAAATATTAAAAGGTGGGTGACAGAAAAGGAAGTCAATTAGTATCAAACACATTAAATAGTTTAGAGAACTAAGGACAACAAAAAAAATGTGTGGAGCAAATAAAGCAAACAGTAAACATAGCCTCCATAAGCTGAAAACTGAATGGTTTTGTGACATTTTTATAGAGACATACCCATGCTGAAGTGTCATAGCTTCTGCTTGATTTCCAGAATAATGATTATGATTTTGGTACTTACACAGAAGTAAATATTTTGGGTATTTAATTTTGAGTTATACTTAGTACAATTTAACTTAGAAGTAGCATGTGCATGCTCTTAGTATATTATTAATATGAGTTTTAATAAGTGGTTGTGTGACTACTGTGGATCAAAAAGATGCTTGAAGCCATGACATGCAGAGGATTGTAATTCTATCTAAGTCTTTCTGTCTTCTAGGATGACTCATAAATCTCTATACTGCATATTAATCTAGAGTGTATTTAAAGCATTTGTTTTCCTCTGTTAGCTCTTTATAAATAGAACCTTAACAGAAGTTGTAGTGTTGGCAGTTAGTAGCAACAAAGTACTCATGGAATGAATTATAGCAGTATCTGATGGATATGTAATTAGGTTTTGTGTATACTTAGACTTACGAGGCTATATCTATGAGGTGACCTCGTGACTTTAAAGCCAGTAAAGCCATTGGAGGATCTATTACTGATAAGCAGTGGCTAGAAAATCTTTACAGTAGCTGCTAATATTTTTGTTGTCGGTCTTGCACTGAGAAAATCCTAAGCTCCCCTATTATATGTGTCTGAATTACCTTACAGCTTCTACAGCTAATCTCTAATTTGTATCACTGCATGAAAAAAAGAGCTGTCCCTGTTACGTGTGTGTTCCTTAGATAAAGAATTTCAGATTTTCAGTTGTTAAAAACAAACCACTGCATGCTGTATGTTCTGTCTCTTTCTCTCTTCCCAAACCACTGTGTTCATTGGCAGGAATGTTTCTGTGGAAGTTCTGTAACTGTGCCAGAGATTGAGGGAGTTTTGTGGCTCAAAGAGGATGGTAAGAAGTCTTGGAAGAAACGTTACTTTCTTCTTCGAGCTTCTGGAATCTACTATGTCCCTAAAGGGAAGGCAAAGGTATGCTATTTTAAAGCAATTTCCCTGAACTGTTTATTGCTGGTAAATTGTGTGCACAAGAGTCAGCCTCAATTTTTGGCTTGGCTTTGGCTTGCGTAGTGCCACATCCCTTAATTAAAAGTGCAGCTCGATCATGGAAATATCGTGTAAATTACTGTGGTAGCACTTGATGTGAAGAGTGTAACCTCAATTTCAAATATACAAGAAGACAAGGGTTTGCTTTTTTGAGTGAGCTCAGGGTTACATGTTCAGAAACACTTGAGGAAAAATGGAAAAATGGTGGAGTTAAGAGGCTGTCTCTTCTTAAGCAGAATTCAGATGAAGGACCAAATTTCACTGCAAATGCTAATCATAAAACATCAGATCAACTCCACAATCAGTCTGCATAATTTTATTTGGTTTAGTTAGTTCATATAAATGAGATTCTTTTTGGACCAATTTGTGCTGTGTTTCTTGAAACTGGTAAATATAATACCATTTCTTTAGTGTCACTTGCTGCTGTTCTGTGTATATCAATAAGGAAAAGTAAATAGAAAGCTGATACAAATGCATTATAACTTCAAGGCTGAACTACTGTGAGTTCAAGTTGTCTGTGAATCAATCAGTCTTGACAGCATGAAGTGATCCCCAGTACAGAAAGTCCACTTCCCACACAGCTGGCAATGAAGAGAAGTCTCTGTCAGCACATCAGCTCTTGTTAGAGTTGAAGACATCTCAGATGTTCTTCCCATAGCCTTTTGCTTTGTTAAAACAACCTATGTGCAAGATAGCCTGATGAAATTCTGTGCTCTACAACCACTGCCAAACATTATTAGAATTATACTCACAGTCACACTGGAATTTGGACACCTTATAATTATTACCAGGGTGAAATGTAACCAGTAGCTGTTAAAAAGTTCCCGGTCAACCAATCTTACTTACTTTCTTCTGATACCAGCTCTGAATAAACTTTAGTAGTTCAGTGTAAAATGTTGTCAAAAGGCAAAATGCAGAGAAAACACAAAAAACCAGACTGGATTTGGAAAAGGATATGCCGGTTAAAAATGAACATCTGATGCAAGAGTTGATGCATGGCTGTATCTCCTTCTTGTATTGGTAGTTTTCGAATCAGATTGAGACTAATGCTAGACTTTAACTAGACCTTATATTAGTATTGTATCTTAACACTAGACTGATTTTTGTCAGTGCATGTGGTTTTCTTAAAAAAATACTTTGTAAATTATTATTTTTGTATTTAATAGGTCTCGCGGGATCTCGTGTGCTTTCTACAGCTAGATCATGTCAATGTTTACTATGGACAGGACTATCGGAACAAGTACAAAGCACCCACAGACTATTGTTTAGTGCTAAAGGTAAGTTCTTTGTTGTTTTAAAAATTCTCATGCTGAAAAGTATGATTAAAGAGCTTGAAACATTTCCACACTAATCTTAGTCCCTTACAATAACTACACTTCCTAATTGTGAGCAAGAGCTGATTAACACAATATTAATCTTGGGAGAGATTATAATTTAGAATACACTTCCTATACTAATATAACAGTTGAAAAACTCTGCCTGTCAGTTTTCAGGGCGAATTTCTGAATTATTTTAATTCTGCACATGAGAAATCTAAATAGCTGTAAGTTACAGTGGCAATGACATAGCTATTTTTAACTACGTTTTCTGCACAGTTGTTGCAATGAGCCTTTTTGACAGAAATACAGTAAAAAAATGAGAAAATGCCATGCGGGGACTAGTGCAGAGGGAAGAAATGGCTATGAATCACTTTCTTCCTCATGAAGCTGACAGATTTTCTCCTCTTGAGAGAAGATCTCTGGATTTTTACGATGGGGGAGGAAAAAAGATCATAGAGAGCGGCAGAAAAATGGCTTTACTGGATTCATCTAGCACTCTCGGTTTCTCTGACAGTGGCCTTTCTTCATAAGGTGCTTAGGGGGAAAATTAGAGTCCAGGGCAGTCTTGCGGAGGTACTTCCAGAGAGTACTTTTTCAGCCTTTAGAAATTTAGGGAGCCAGAGAGTGAATCTTGGCTGTTCAGTAGCCCTAGGTGCATTCTTACTCTGAATATGCTCTGTCTCTTTTGGGATTCCATGAAACTTTTAGAATGCTGCAGCAGTTAGGTGCACCTTGTATGCTCTTTTACTTGTTCTGAGCCATCAGTTGCTTTCCGTTTTGTTTCCCCCTAGTTCTTGTATAGGAAGTGAACAGTTAGTGAACGGTTGTTGCCTGTTCTCCAGGCTCCTCATGACTTTGTAAATGCTTTCATAATGCCTTGAATTGTCTTACTTCCAGACTGCTGAGTCCCAGTCTATTTAATTGTTCATCATACTCTAAAACATAACACTAGACCCTTTTTACCCCTTGGCAACTCTGTACCTTACAACAATCCAGGTTCAGTGAGATAATACTCCTTAAAACGCTAACTTCAGGGAGCTGTCATCTTCTCAGAGTGTAGGAGTTGTGCAGAAATTGGTATTAGGAAATCATGTCTACCCATATTGCCCAACCTGTGGGAAAGGGCATTCTGTAAAGGAAGAAACTTCTGAGTATAAAGGACAGGTAGAAAGAACAAGTAGAAAAAATGTTATGAAAGCAGTGACCTGACCTTAAACTGTGAGGCTAGTAACTTGAGTACTTCAAATTATTTTAAATTGCATTAACTCATCTCCCAGTCTCTCTTGACTCCCACGCAGTGTTCAAAATGGTGTAGGTTCCTGCAAGATAGCTAGCTACAAAGCTATTTTAAAACATGTTTTCACAGTATGTTCGTAGAAAGTGTCTTTGCAGATTTGAAAATGGTGCAGGTTGCAAGAGATGGTTATAGTTGCACTTACAGTTTTCCTTTGACCTCTTACCTTGCCGGATTTGTAGCTCATGTGGTGTTGCATATGTCAGTATGTTAGAATGTTTTATGTAGCTGGAGTGGGTGGCTGCCTATCCACTGTGTGAAAAAAATGATTTCATCTTCCAGTAGACAGGGCAACATGCAAATAGGCCCACGGAGAGGCAGACACTGAATATCAAATATGGAACATGATGTTAAGGGAGAAAGCATACAGCTGAAAGTGGAAATACTTTCCATGTTCTTATAGGTTATTGATGCAGTTAATTGAATGCAATTAGAAGCAAAAATGTCAGTGTTTGTAGGTATTTATAAATTCTTTGAAGTAAATTGATTTCTTCTGCTTACAAGTCACTTTCTGTGCACATCATTTGGACAGGTTAGGAGTGAATTATTTTTTCAGCCTTGTTGACCACACAGAGTAAACCCGACTAAGTCTTTTCTAAGTAGATTTGTTTTTTTAAAGTATTGCCATTCTGAGCACAAATGAAGACATGAAAATGTTAAAGTCAAATTTTAATGTGTCTAAATTGTCCCTTATTGGCTTATTTAAGTAAATTAATGGGGTAGAGTTGTTGCAGATGGGTGGTTAGATCGCTTCAAGAATCACCGTCAAAGGTATGTGGAAGAAAAGATTTTACCAAAAATTTCTAAAATGTGATTTTACAGAGTTCGTTGGCAAGGTTCACTCTATTGCTTATCAAATGAATGGAATACAAAATCGAAGTAGGATTGCGGTAG